GAAAACCAATGACTTTTTGATTGAGTGATTTATTCCAATCGGTAATCCTGCAATCGGTAATACAATAGCTCAACCAATCAGTCAGCCAATTAATTATTCAATCAGGAACAAAATCATGCAATCGTTCAAGTTCACATTTATCCATATAGCATCATAACCACATATCTGCCCAGCCAACACATTGCCTATATGCCTAAATATGCATACACATCTATCTACAAACTTGACAACCTGCATACACAATTACCTACCATCCGACCCATCAAAATAACTACATATCTAACTATGTAACTCTATATATATATATATATATATATATATAAACCTCACTCCGATCGACCAATTTATATACCCATCAATTTAGCCATATATTTACACACCAATCTACCTCCCTACTTACCTATTTTTCGTATATAAGCAGAGTTTCAAGGCCACTACATCTCATACAAATACACACTTTACCGCGTAACAGCATATCTGTATACATAGGTACACACACAAACCTGTCTAAGTAATTACAACTTGTTCGACCACATAACTAAATATCAAGTTAACAACTTACCAGGCTGTCAAGCTTTATGCCTTCTCATAAAAAAGACAACATATCTAGCTATATACCTACACATCTACATCCCTACTTACCGGTAAACCTACATATCGACCTGACAACTAAATGGCTATGTACATGCCTACTAGCACACATATATACATGAATACATCAAACTATGTAACTACAAATATTATTGTCTTCAAATTACAAACTATCTACCAATCTAGCTAGCTTTCTGCCATCGTATCCTTATTTTTGCATATATATACACACTACATACCTTCCTGTCTATCTATATATCTGCCCAAATATATGACTATCTAGAAAGCTATCTACCAACCCTTATCCCTACATAATTACCTATCAATTCTGCCCCTCCACCTACCCATCTATCAATCTACCCACGTGTCTGCCTATCAATTTAGATACATATCTATCTACCATCACATCTACCTGTCTGCCTATCTAGCTATATATGTATATACTTATCGTCCTATTTACCTATTGACATGTGGGAGTATCTACCTACACATCTACATCCTTATTTACCGGTAAACCTACATATCTACCTAACACCTGAATAGTTATGTAAATGCCTACCAGCATACATACATACATGAATACATCAAACTATGTAACTACAAATATTATTTTCCTCAAATTACAAACTATCTACCAATCTAGCTAGCTTTCTGCCATCGTATCCTTATTTTTGCATACCAATCTGTCTCAAAACTTGTATATCTATGAAGCTACATGCGTCCCTGTCTATCTAGATATCTGCCCAAATATATAACTATCTAGAAAGCTATCTACCAACCCTTATGCCTACATACTTGCCTATCAATTCTACATATCTATCTACCCCTCAACCTGCCCACTTATCAATCTACCCACGTTTCTGTCTACCAATTTAGACACCTATCTATCTACCATCGCATCTAACTATCTGCCTATCTACCAATATGTCCACCTATCTAGCTATATATTTATATAATTATCGTCCAATTCACCTATTGACTCAACATCTTTATCAATACAATCCATGTTTCTTATCCTTCTACTCAACACCTTACATATAAGCCGACCTACATACCTTATAATACATTTGCCTATCTATACGTCTACCAACCTTCTATTGTAATTACCATTCTTACGAAATATTTACATTCCTATCTTCAGACTTTCATTCTGACCTCCCTTTCTTTCTGCATACTATCATACCTGCCTACACAGCCCATCTACCCACATAACTGCCCATACATCTCTTGTCCTTCTAACCACCACCTGCAGTCCCCCACATCTGTTTACCCACCTATCTTCCTACCTATCCATCTATCTATCTTCTCACCTTCTTTTCTACTTGTCTATTTATCTACTTGTCCGCCTACACATGCGCATCAATCAGCCAACACAACGACCCACCTTTCTGCTCACATGCCCA